AAGGAAATTATTTTCCAATAATCGACAGGGTCATTTTTAAGACTCTCCGTCAAAGCATTGGCTCTAAACTCATTTTCCGTTTTTCTTCATCTGACAAGTTGCCTTTTAAATTGGGCTCTAGACTTACGCATATTTTCAAAAAATGGGCCCGACTTTGGGGATCCTTGTTCCTTCCAAAATAGAAAATCAGAACGTGCTTTCGCATGGTAATCTTTAACAATTGTATTCCAACCTGGGACGGCCGGCCTGTTGGGTTTCTTTGTGTGCGGAATACTCTTATTGGCAGCAGCCCGTAAAGCAGAAGTTATATTACAATAAAAGTTATCTATGCTGTCTTTATGAATAGAACAACTAGGATTCTTGCAAACGAGGGCTCCAGTTGGAAAATGTAATTCAGAAAGCAATTTGTCACACAACAGACTATAATTAGAAAAGTCAGCAGTGGAAACTTTCCCCCAACATGGCGTAGAAACTCTCTCACACAAAGGTGAAATAAGTGTAGGCAGTAGATCAGTTTTAAGAGAAACCACTATAGGAAAGTGGTCAGACGAGATGACCCCCGTATTTGATACCAATATTCTCTATAATTCTATTCGTAGCCTCAGTACATACGATATGGTCAATCCAGCTACGAAATTTGCCAGTATCACTCAAATATGTAAAAGAATTAGTAGGCAGACTATCCACATCAGCCACAGTAAAATTATTATCCGAGACAAAAGCATTTAAAAATTCATAGTGATCCTTACTTGGATCTGAATTAAAGTCACCACTGGATATGCACTGGTTGTCTTAATTTAGCGGAAATGTAACAGTACATGCAAACTCATCAAGGGTAGTCATTTCAAATAAACGTTCACGAATCGACTTGTTTACACTCAACTAACAATTGATGTTGTAAACGTGGCATATGGATAATTCAATTCAATATAGTAAATTGTAATCTGAACATTTTTTTATTAACTCGTATATTCGTGTGTGTTCTTTAATGACATTTATTCTGTCCTGCGTATTTGTTATCACCACTAATTTTAATACTATGGATCAAAACGTACAGTATTACAAAACCATAGGCAATTTGTTGAAAAAATATTTGATCTACGTTCGTATATCAAGATATGCTGGTTTTTACCGATAACAATTCAATTCGCAACGATTTTGGTCGCGTCTAAAAGCAAAGTAACTCCAATATTGATTTGTCTGAATGGTTCAACTATTTTGCTCAAATTTATACCAAGCTAAGGGGCTCAAGACTGATGGAATATATAATCGTTTAATACACGAAGATGTTGTTTTTGCGAGAACTCTTCTATAGTTATCAAAATATATTACTTGCTGTCACCTATTTCGAGGTGTATACTATCAAAGACAAGATATACTGTGTTTTTGATGACTTTTAAAAAGTGTTTAGCTGAAAACCTTATTATTTTACATATCATGGGATATAAATATCAAAAAATACATTAAACAAATCAACAAAGTTCTCAACAAAATGAACAAAATAAGAGCGAAATTGGACAGGGAACAGGAATACAATACTATACAAACAGACAAAAGGACCACGTGGGCATTATATAACTAGGAAAGCTTGGAATTGGATATTCATGCCACCATGGAGAATTATCTTCCTGTTGTATCCTTAGCTCTTTAGATTTCATGTAATAACTGTTTCCACTCTTATTTGTACTTGAATGCCAGTGACTACTGGACTTGCAAATATATAATTGTTTTGTGCGTGAATATATCAGTTTGATAGTGACCTAAAATTAAAGTAGAGTTTATTTATTACAAACAAACGAAATTAGACAATATACATGTCGGACGAAACAGAAAAATGCAGTTCGATAGACGCGCATGTTGGGAGATTTCAATTGCAATGAAGTAAAGAGACTCGCATGCATTGCTCAGTGCACGTACACTGCGTCTGTAACAATAGATGTACTCCCTATCCAAACTAAGAGTTCTAGAACATTTTATTTTGACAGGTAAATTTTGATAATTTGTCATACGTTTTCGAATTATTTCATCGCCATCATGATGACGTACGGTAGTATTTCGTTGTTGCACTGAATACATCATAATAACGCAATATTGTTTTCCATTGTCACCCAGAATTCACCACGATAACGAATGTGATATTCCATCGTTTCTCAGAATAAATTATGAAGACGCAATAGGGTATTCCGTTGTTTCCCAATCATTGTCGTAATGTTTGGTAATTTGTTATGTTGGTGATACGAGCAGAATATAACATGGTTGCAGAAATTTGGAAGTCCGGTGATCCTCCGAATGCATCATGGTTATGTAATTAGGTTTCCAGTATTATCTAGAATAAACCATAGTTATGTAATTTTGTATTCCAGGTTGTACCAGCTTAATGCAACCTGGTCTAGCAATATGGCGTTCTAATGTTACGCAAATGCCAGGACCACTAGAAATATAATATTCTGCTAAAAGGAATGCAGAAAATTTGCAAAGAAGGACCATTCGATCTACGAGAACCCGGTAATCTAGCCGACACTGTAGAAAAGTTGAAAAAAACATGCTTGATTAGAATAGTGACGATATCCAATGTCCACGAAATAGGTGTGTTTTCTTCTGTAGTCTTGTTGCGTGCTGTGTTTTGTCACGGTGTACGCGTATTACGTAACTCATTTTTAATAGTAAGATCAACGGGTCAATAACTAGTAGAAACCGCACCTGATTCATGTACGTATCAGAGTAAACTACATGCTAATTTCAACCATAAATCATCAGCTTGCTAATTCAGTAGAGTTTTCATGCATCACACACCTCATAAACCGGTAATGTCTTAGCAATACAACTGTACGTCAGACCTTGCACATTGTTTTATAAATCATAGGTTCACAATGTATGGCGTACATGCCATAGCTGACTACAATGTACTGCTCCTGGATTAGTAAACATTAATGTCACTATTATTTAGATATAATTGGAACTATGTGATAATATAAATAATTGATGTGGAAGGTGATTTGTAAATAATTATTATATGTGTTGTTGAAAATAATGATATAAAATATAATTTAAATATAATTTAATATGAACAAACGGCACCCCTTATATTGGAATGGCATTTCTGGTGTTAACTACAACTCCATCGTCTGCGTCGAGCTAATACCATACTGGCAGGTAGTGCGTGCTGCTCATCATATCACTGGGCTCGTTCGTTACCCAGAGTTCTTTGGCGACGACACTCACCCATGCGAAACAATTATTACCAAACATCTTACAGGTGATACCATGAAATTATAAGTAAATTAAATAATCCGTCAACAAATTGAAAGCGACGAATGGTTACGTTATTCCTCAATAAATGTGTAGATTTCTTTAAAGAAAACAAGGATTTGGTTATAGGCTAAGATTCATTCCCACTGAATATGAACACCGTACCCTAGATAGAAAGATGACGTTGACAAGGTTGTATCATTTAGAGGGTCTATGCTTGTATTTAGTATCAATAAACTTGAACGTGGCATCAATGGTATCGCTGATACTTAAAGCATGTCCCTGTATTGTTAATGAAATTATATGTAAGCTATTTAACGGAATACCTGATTCTGGTAAATTTGAATGGAAGTGGGTCTAAGGTGTTATATTACATATATTTACAAGAAATTGTATGCAGACAATATACATCAACATTGGTATATACATCAACAGTCCAATTTTAGCAATGGGGGAATTAGGCATAATTTCGAAAAAAATGTTTAAATATTATCGAATTGTTAAATACTCGACTAAAGCTGTTGTCCACGGAAATAACAGATTAATTTATAAATGTTATGAATGTCAGAGAAGTTTGATAAATCAATCAGATTAAATGCGTATTATATACATATGGTTTTTGAAAAGCATTGGTTCAACAATGCGTTAGTAATCAAACCGTGTATTTTTTTTAAATGTGCCTAAGTTCATATTTTATGCTTTCAAATTACGGATAGTAAAAATTAGCTGACGTATCCATGTACTATTACTATATTGTATTCTCTGGCGGTGATTTTGTTTACTTTATATTTCAATATTATATATACTTACTATACTTTATATAATTTATATTTTAGTATTGAATAAATATGCATATAGATTGTGTATTTTAGTATTGAATAAATATGCATATAGATTGTGTATTTTTGTGATGATTTCATTTAAACGAAAGTAGCAGTAACTGTTACCATGAAAGTTACTGGACGTACGTAAGCAAAACAAACACTTAACTTTATGAGCTGCAATTATGCTTTACCGAAACCACTTTAACCGATTTAATTTGGATAAATTTGAAAACAACAATTATGAAAACAAATGCTAAATGCAGCATTACTCACGATATAAAACGTGGATTGACAGAGAGGAAACGAGAATATTCTGTGGTTATAACACAAGCACATCTGGTAGTAAAATGTAACGACTATGTCAAGGACATGACTTAATTACATGAACACCAAAACAGGGGCATTGTTTGATTAAATAGGTCAGAAATACGCGTATATAAATTGTGATTCACAATTCTCTCTGCTATGTTAATCAGTCATATGACTACGTATTTAAATGAGTATTAATTTCTTATTGTCAGACGACTGAGTTACTATCTTGGTTGTGCATGTTCACTGTAGATTGGGTCGAGTTGTTCTGTTCAGCGTCTTGTGAGGTATTTATGCATTTCCATCCAATACATTGAAGCAAAAGTCGCGTTTGTCGTCTCAATCCCTGTCTAAACACAGCGTTCATGCCACAGTAAATCCACGGATTACAGGCCGAGTTCAAAAACAACAGACATGTCGTGACGGTGTCTACCTCTGGTGGGATTGAAATTGTGGAAGCAGACAATGAAATGATCTGAACGATTGTGGCTGGCGTCCACGTCAAGAGATAAACACCGATGATAATCACTATAGTGGAAGTAGCCTTTCGCTCCTTTGAGCTAAATCCGATGTTATGTCCGGGTAAACTAATGATCAAGGCGTGCACGCTCCGTGCATGTCTTCTCGCTGTTTTGAATATATGGTAATATATGTAAAACATCCAGGATACTGGTAATACAAAATAAAAGACAATTACGGTTACAGTGAATACTAGATTATCTTTATAATCGAGTCCACATGTTAACCTGTTGTCAAAGTATTTGTATTTTCCAATACCAAAAAAAGGCACGCTTGCACCGACTGCTGCAGACAACCAGATAACAGCTACGACGATGACTGATCTCTTTAACGTTAACAAGTCGATATATCTTAATGAATATACAATCGCAATATATCGTTCGTAGCTGACTGCCGTTAACGACATGGCTGAAACAGAACACAGCAACAAATTATTAAATCCCGTAAACTGGCACCAAATATTCCCGAATATCCAGCTTTTTGTTGCAGCGGTGTGAATTATACACGGTAAAATTAACACACCAACCAGTAAGTCCGTTACGGCCAGATTTGCCATCAAAATTCTTGTTACTTCTCGAAATTCCTTCGTCCGCCATATAACGATAATGGCAATGAGGTTGCCGGCGATAGTGAACAGTGTAGCCAACAGGTAAATCAAACACACACAAATAACTGTTGTTGAATCTAGTTTGTCATCCTCATTTTTCTCACTGTCGGCCATTGTCAGTCGATGCACGTCAACAAGTTTCCTCGTGTAAAATATTTCTACTTATAAAAGGTGGCCAGCTATTTCGGCAACAAGAAATTTCCCGACAGCAATATTCACTGCTGATATGGCGACCTGTCACTGTGACCTAAACAAGATGAAAACCCTGTACTCGCGATCGCTCATTTCCGCCATCTGTAGTAAATTACTTCGATGAGTGGCAAGTGTGATACCGACATTGTCTAATCCGCACCATTTGAATAGAGACATGTCTATCTAGAGTCAGTCTAATGTAATCCACTACGACGATACTGGGTGTTGATGATAGTATTTCAAAGCATTATAAGTTGTTGCTAGGATACGCATTCATCTATTGTAACGTGAATGATCCCCACGGAAATAAGTCTCACTCGGACTATGAATATTCGTGCGACGTTTTCAAGAAAGCTGGCATAAAATTGTCTCATCGGAATATGAATAACGCCCTCTTGGTAAATTCAAAATCTCACGCACCGATGGCTTTGCCATGAAGACTCCCCTACAGCTACTTGTCGTTTGGCGCATACTTACCCGACTCACTAAAATGTGATGCATTTATTTCATCTGAATGATACACATTACTTCGGGTATGCCAACTTGAACAGCGACACGTACATGACTAGAAATCTTTTCACTCATTCCATATCACCTGCCTTATCCGTATTACAATCAAACATTTCATACACAAATCATGTCGTATTGAGATTAAAAGACGCATAGAAATGAGTTTGTCGCTATGGTAATGCGACTTGGCATATAGTTTGAAAGGAAATAGAAACCGTTACCATAGTGATTCTATTTTAGGGAGACAGAAAATGTGTCTCGTGAAGAGTGGTTATTGTCGTCAGATGAAATAAACTTCTCAATTAGATGTTCGTTTGAATGATTAATGAAACATTCCACGTCACACTAAATGATATGGTCCTCTGATTGACGTAGCTGTGAACGGGGACATGTAGCCTCGTAGGTATGTGCGGCCTGTGTGTATGTCTTTCTCTGTGAGTCAGTCAGTCCGCTGCTTGTTTTTCGAACATCAGCGTCATCTCATTCTGTATCAAGCTTGCTATAAATAAACTATATCGAAAGGAAGATATGAATTGTATTTTATTTCATTAGTATTTCATTTAATTAAAATGTGAAAATGGGAGTAAGTATTTTCTAAAATGTGTTGATTGTGTGTTCCTGTTTGTGAGTACCATGTCTACACGATGATACAAACAGTGGTCGTTGTAGTTGCAATGCATGCACAGCGCTAAACCCAAAGAAATAAATAACCAATTAGATTGTGTGTTTTATGATTTATATTTGGATTGATTGATTTATCAAGTGTACTGGCAATCGTTATTATAAATGACGCGACCCAGGACTACACCACTGATGTCACAATCGTACACAATTGTTTTTACGTTTATGGTACGAATTTTTTGGTATTCAAATCAAAACGCCATCACCTAAAACAAAATTATACAAAATTATCAGTTACAGATTTAGTTTAAATAATCATTTGTTGAAGAAATGCCATCAGCGAAAATTAAAAATTTAGCAGTAACAGTAAATAATATATCATGTATCAACACGATACATATAATAAGCGCCTAAGCATGTCACATACTGCTAATTGCATTATTTCGTCATCCGGTCTTTTTTCTGTTTTTGCTAGTAGGCATTATTTACCAAATATACATCGAATTGATGATGCATATAACACACTCGTACAATCATTTCCACCCATCAGAACTGACCAATTTACAAACTTGGAAAAGATAAATAGCACAACTCTCTTCGTGAATACCCAGGATAGGAACAGTTGACGAGACTAACAGCTTTACTCCCCTACGAACAGACTCCATTCTACCAAATACGAATGTTGCAGGCCTAGCATGTGGGGTTTTCCCACTACTGCGTTTACAGCCACATACACGCCAGGCATTTTGCTACACAGCAGGTTGCATTGCGGGTATGATGGAAAAATATTTGTATGCAATAATAACCTTGGCACCGAATGTTTGATATAAATTGAAAACTTATGACACTGGCTGTATAGTCGTTATATTACAATTACCTATTATGATGTATGCTGAAATGTGGAAAACGGCAGTGCAAATTTCACGTATGTGGCAATTTTCAAGCTTACGCTAACCATTACAAAACAATCTTTTAAAGAAATGTAGTAAGACAAGTTTGCGAAGACTAAAGTTGGGTTGAAGGTATGAACATTTTTTGAAATGTGGCCTATCAAAATAGTTTTGGCAAGGCACTACCTGGGGACCTCCACAAAGCGAGAGCAATCCGATAGGTAGATAGTTTGCTTACAAAAGGCGCTATACACGGGATAGGGTACTCGCGTTAAGTCTGGGCTTCTACGTACACTCACAAGTATTGGTGGTTCCAAAGACTATAACTAAGACTACAATTGGCTGTGCCCCATGGACTTAAGCAGACCAAATCAGTATGAGCTTCCTGGAAAATCCAAGCACCATATTATTCTCCGTGTTCTGTTTCTACTGGATAGCCTCGCTAGAGTTGAGCAATATTTCGCCCAGTTGGGCCAAGTAGTCGAGTGCAGGGTGCTCCTTTGAGGTTTTGCACGGCTTCATATGCATTCACCAGATTGTGGAAACAGGTGGTGCTACTGCTGTGCCGGTACACATCACATCGATACACATCAACGTGTACCTAGATGACTGGTTGCTACACAACCCAACAAGGGGTTAGTCAAACAGTAAGGCTAACACCAGAATTTCTAGACCAGTTGTGCTTCCAAGTAAATCGAGCAAGTCCCACCCTTAGCCAACACAGCAGTTGGTGTTCCTGGCCAGGGAGTTCGACACGGAGATGGGCTTGGTACGGTCACCTCAGGCCCATTGCCTAAATGACCTAGCTGAACACCTAGTCAGCGTTCCCTCTGTGTTCTCCAAGAACTAATGCGGATCATCAGAATGATGTCAGCAGTTCGCAGGGTAGTTACCCCAGGCCGCGTTATGCAGCCGCCCGTTACAGCACACTTTTATTGCAACACCAGGAACTGGAGAGGTGAGTAACACTCTCGGACCAAGCGAGGAATGCCTTGCCTGGTGTTCGGCAATTGCCAACCTCAGGCAGGGGGTTTCCTTGGACCCACTCTCAACAGCTATGACTCTAGGAACGGATACCTCCCTCACATGTTTGGGAGCGCACCTATTGCACGAACAAGCCCAATTGAAAATATGGCCCCTGCATTAGATTCGGGACTGCCATATCAAATGACTCGAACTGAAAGAAGTGTGCTTAGTCTTGCTTTGCACGGACAACACAGAGGTGGTCTTCTATAGCTACAAGGAGGGGGACCAGATCCCCATCATTGTCAGTCCTAGTGGAGCAAATTCTCCTTTGGTACCTGGGATACAATGTGGAGCCAGCTGCACACCACCTTCCAGGGGCGAACAACAGTCAAACGGACGCTCTCTCGTGACGACTCTATCTCCAGAACACGAAGTGGCGGATACCCCAATAGGTAACCTTCAGACTTTTCCGGCGATGGGATGGTCCAATGTTAGACCTTTTCCCCACACCTTAGAACTCCAAGCTCCCGATGTACATGACACTCCTGTCGACTCCAGGAGCCTTTGTCGATCCCCGTGAACCCACATGGACGTGTAAGCCTTTTCTCCCTTCCTGCTATTCACCGGGTACTGGAGAATCTTCGACAGGAGCGCATCTGCACTTTGACGCGGGTGGCACCCAATGGGCTAAGCAAGGCCTGGTTTGCACTACTGTTGGAAATGTTAGTCAAAACACCAGGGGTGCATCAAGACTTTCAAATCTGCTGTCTCAACTGGACGGCGCACTGCCTTTGAGACCAGTGGTGTACCACTTACATGCATCGAGGCTCTTCGTTAACTCACTCAGTGGGCTGCCATCGTCCTGGCCAGGGCGAACAGGGATCCCACCAACACAGCCTATGCCTCGAAATGACGTGCGTACACTGATTGGTGTAGTGGAAGGGAGATTGTCACACGCTACGTAATATTACCGTAATTGGTATAGTACATGTGTGATGGTTCAAATACCAAAATGGCAACAGTAACAGAAAGACTTCTCTGGCGGCGATGATAAAATACGAACACGGAGCCAACAGATGAGGTTTCAACTGGTACTGGTATTATTATACTCTGCAAACATCAAGTACAATAACGCGGTAAAACTCCACTACTCCAATAACTAGATACTTAAACTCCAATACAATTCAACGAGATCTCCGATCAGCACTT